GTGAGAGAGAGAGAGAGAGAGAGAGAGGTGATGGATCCTTCAAGCTCGGTGGAGGTTAACCTGGCTTGCTCAAAAACAAACTCCTGTGACCACACACCTGTGGTGGCTGAAAAAAACAACTTATACCAAAGTAATTCCTCTTCCCACGCCCCCACCTCAACCCAGACCTCCCACACGTTTCTCCAAAACCTTTACTTTTGTCAGACATACGTTCGGCATTTTCCACAAAACCTAAGATCTTTTCCCGTCGACCAAAACCCACCGACAGTTCAAACATGAATATGTCACTGCTTAAATTCTTTCGGTCTACCACAATGTGTACCTATGTCAGAGCGCAGGTGAGGGTTAAGACTGCACGGATCAAATATTTGCCAACAGTACCACTACAAAACTGGCGAAACTGAAGGCAAATAGTACCTACGAAATCATTACCTATTAAGAACATGTTCAGGGATACTGGAAAGAGTAGTTTGGGGTGGGGGTGAGTGGTGGGTTGGAGGGGGGGAGGGCAGCTAAATCGGAAAGCAATCGATGACGAGAACCATTCGGAGAAAAAGACAACTGGCAGTAGGCACTTTGGTACACAAAGATAATTATGGCAGTGGACACAAGTCAGTATTCGTTCACTTGCTCTGGAAGATGTATCAACACACACACACACACACACACACACACACACACACACACACACACATACACACACACACACATACACACACACACACTGACAGGAACGATTAACAGACGTACTAGAAAGACATATAGTCAGAGACACATAAACCCGGTATTTCTTTAACACAGACATTTTTGTTAAATCCTCAAGCCGGTTACGTCAGTGGGCGCTGTGCGTAAAAAAGACGAAAAGCCAGGGGTTTTCATCCTCTCAAAAACATCGACGTAGGCAAACACACGGGAAGGATGACAACAGAATCTGGGTGGACGGGAGTCTGATGAGTGAAAAGAGGGTCCCGACAAGAAGTTTGTTTTGGAAGGCGGAACGCAACGAATCATCCCTAGGTTGAGTTGATCTTTGGAGGAAATGTAGACGTTATGAAGTCACGACGGCACCAAGAAAAAAAAAGGAAGAAAAAAAAAAGATTGAACAACACGATCTGAATCACATGATCACTACCTCAAACGAAAACGGTAAACGTGCTCATGAGCACTGAGCACGAGTACGGATGTGTAGAAACAAACAAACAAATAAACAAACAAACAAACAAACAAACACCCAAATACACACTTGCATACAGATAAACAGGAGCGTCCATGCATGCGTGGGAAAACATCTTCACATTTACAAACATATATAACATACAAGCAAAGTGAGAAAGAAAACGGGGTTAGAGAGAGAGAGAGAGAGAGAGAGAGAGAGAGAGAGAGAGAGAGAGAGAGAGAGAGAGAGAGAGAGAGAGAGAGAGAGAGAGAGAGAAAGATTATAATAAATATGTGTTTCCCGTGTAGACAGAAAT